ATCAGACGACACCGTTATGTTTTACGCGCGGCCATATATGAATCCCATGCATTCGTCCTATTCACTGATTTTTCGTAAAATAGCCGATTAAAATCCCCGCGTTGCTTTCATTAGTCACCGAGATGCATGCCGATCCCCGTGGACTCCCGGAGGGCTGGCATCCCTCCCTGCCCGGCTTCAGACCAAGGCGGCGCGCTGCCCGCCCCGCACGATGCCCAGGGCTGCGGGGCATCGCCGGCCTCAGAGCCCGGGGCCGCTCGGCCGCTGCGCTGAGCAGAGCCATGCGCCTCTATGGGCCCCGGTGCGCTGCGGGCAGCCTGGGGGTGGCTCCAGGTAGCTCCCACACGCCGAGCAAGAGCCATCGGTTAAGGTTGCCAACCCTCCGGGATCACCCTGGAGTCTCCCGGAATTCGATACGACCTCCAGGAGAGTCACACGGGAGATAAATGATAGGCATTCATTAAAATAAATATGAAACGTTGAATCCCATTTATACAGTAGTCTTTAAAATGTCATAGCAATGTCGTTGGCTTTCACGAGTGCAGAACAGAGTAGATCAGTCATTAATGTCGTTCCATCGTGGGATGAAACCTCCCGGAATAGATTCGGAGTCGGCAACCCTACCGTCGGTACGTGCGCGCCGAGCAGGCTACGGGCGAGCACGTGTCCAGGTGCCCTCGTGGTGGCACATTGGAAGAAGAACGTGAGCTAACGTGGGCACCGTTCCTGCCGTGTCTAGGGTCACGTTGGGTAGGCCGGGAAGAGAAATGTGGCAATAGCAACCTAAAAAAAAAAAGGCTGCTTCATGTGCTCAGCCTATATCTCAGTCCCGTATTGAGGACTCTACACAGACATAATACCAATTTCCACTTAGGCGTGCAGGTGCTGCGATCTCCTTGTGCCACCTTCACATATTGGTCCCTGATAGACGGCAGACAAACCTGTGCCGTGCTGAAGTGCAGTCGTCCTCTAAAGGTACAAAAGCACAGGCTGAGGTTCCTTCTTTATTTGGCGATCCTGGGCTCATCTCATTGTAAAGATTTCCCTCCGCCCCTGCCGCCCCCTGGGACAAACAAAAAAGACTAGGATCTGAGAAGCCATTTTCTAGTTACTGCTACATCATCCTCAGACTGCAGATAAAACTTAGCAGACATTTTTTTGCAGTGGATGGTGCATGAGACAAAACTCCTTGCTTAACCACCTAGGATTTTGTCTACTCAGATTTGCACACAACCAACAGAAACGAAGCCTCCAAAATCAAGGTAATCCCAGAAAATATTAATAAGGACTTTCCTTAGAAGAGAGGCGGAGCCAAGGAATCCATCCATATGAGCATCTTTCACAACAGTAGGGCCATTCGCAGCTCTACATATCCATAGCTCTTGCATAGCTCTTGCATCCTGCAGAGCTGGTTGGAGGCAGGGCAGGGGCTGATTCTTTTCTCCCACCTCGCGCGTCATGGAAATTGCATTTTGAAGACTACTGTGCAAGCTTCATGTAGAGACATATTGGAAAAGTGCATGATTTGCTTAACGGCATAACACAAGGCTAGTTCTGATTTCTTGCCTGCTGCTTACGTGGAAACAAATATTGGTTATCTGCAAGCTGTGGCTAAACTGTTTTAAGTGCATAGCATTTTTCAGGCCTACTGCCTACTTGTAACTTAATTATATTCTGGTTCACTATCCTAACTCTAACTGTAACTATCCACTTTGTAACTAACTGTACATCATTTAATTGTCCTAGAGCAAGTGAGGAGGAAGCTGCTGTTAGCAACCTTGAACACAACAAAATGGGGTCATTTTTATGGGTGCTCTTTCCCCTCACCTGCAGGAGTTGTAGTGGCCACCTTGAAACTGCCTAGCTCCTGACCATTTTAGGGCTGCTAATAGAGGCTCCAAAACTGACTATTAGAAATTCTGACCCTCAGGTACATTCAGTTAAGAGGTTAAAATGGCTTTATAGGGGTGATTTTTTTTATGCTTTTAGAATCAGAAGACTCTTAAGGACATAGCCGCTAACTCCACTTTGCTGTGAACTTGAAATACAGTGATACATTTCTTTTAGCTAATGCAACTTCAACTTTGGCTCAGAATTCCTGGGTTTCTTTCTTTAGGGTGGCAGTACTGCAAATCTTTGGGCTCTGACACTGTATTTACACCCAAAATGCAGCATTCTCATCAATCAAAGCAAAATTACAGAGAGTGGTTTAAATTGACGCATACTTCTCAAAAGTATGAAAGTTTGCCATTTTTCCGTGCAAAATAAGACTGAAGAGGTTTGTTCACCTGAACTAGAAATATGAGATGGAAAGCCTAAATTTGCTTTCAGTTGAAGCACCGTGGTGCTCCAGGCAGAGCGAAAAATGATCAACTCTGCTTGTTAGATAAATGTACCTTGGGCACAAATTTTTTCTGAAAGAAATGACTGGCGCACCCTAGTCTCCAATTGTTGTAGTAAAAAGGAAGTGAACTATGCAAAGAGACAGTAAAATCATTCCAAGAATGATGGAATAATTTATTGGATGCCCAGCTTTCTATCTGAAATACCTAGCAGTGCCATCTGCGCCCAGGAGCCAAACCAGAGGTATCCACGTGGGTTTCTTAGTAACTTTTTATGTGGTTAATAGTGGAAGTGGTGAATTAACTGTAGCAGATGCTTAAAAGTGGCTATTCCCGCCCAGTGTCCCTGCGTGCCCCAGTAGCACCTCAAAGACCTGCCATCACACGGAGACCTTACAACAACAGTCTGATACAGCTGTCATAGAAATCTGTGAGGATAGTCCCTCTAGATCTAATGAAAAATAGGCCATGCCCTAAATTTTGATCCATCTGGTTGTCCATCAAAACATTTTTTTCTGCTTAAATTAACAGAGCTGTGCTAGCACCAGTGGACAGTTTTTGGAGCAGAGATGTCCAAAGGGATTGCTGTTTTAAATATCAGTTGCGGGTTGAGCAGTTTACTACTTGAATCAGGCAGGGTTCCTCCTGCAAAGGTTATTTGTGCATCTCATGCCCCTGCCTTAACCATGAGTCACTCTAAAGTAAGCCACAGCTGATGTTCAGCAAGTGGTAATTTAATTTCCATTGTTCCCCTCATTCCATTTCTTTCATTTCTCCTACCCTATGTATCTTTTGCATTGTTCAAGGCAAGAGCCGTCTTGTACAGCACCAAGCACGCAGGAAATTCCAGGTGCTCCCGTAATATAAATAATTAATCACCATCATAACAAAATAAATGCTCCAATTGCCTGGACACCAAAATGCAGACAGTGGCTTGACATGGAGGATAACTCCAGCTGGCACTCGGTTTATTGATTAGACTCCATCACAGGCGGAGCTCAGGTTTAATATGCTCACTAAGTGCAGCTCCAAACAGATCTAGCAACACATTAGTGAAAGAACCCACTGAAGCTTTAAAAACCCTGTGGCAGTTGCCATAAAGAAAGCTGCCCCTGAAAAATAAAACTTGGATGCTGTGTTGCCTGGCATGTGCCCAGCTGCACTTACACCAAGAAAGTCACTGTGTGGTTATGAGAACTGGGCATAATCCTTGTGGCTTAAAATAATACCAAATGTGCCAAAAAGCAGCAGCAAATTGTATTTAGGAAACAGTATAAATGAGAGTAAACAGCAAATTCACCATTTTGACTGTTTTCCAATTGCCTGTAGCTACACTTGTTAAATTGAGTGCTGCGTGCATAAATCAAAACAGGATGTTTTTTTTTACCTAACAATGGCAAAGCTCCATGCCAGTTTTTTAAGTGTGTTTTCCTGTGTGGATCCAAGCTGAAGTTTTAAACATATTTTCCCCTATAGATCTCTGTACATACTGCACATATACAGCCAGCCAGACAGTCTAACTTGGGGAGTTGGGGTGGAAAGGGGAAGGTTTAAAGAGGGTTAATGAAAATTCAGCAACTACCATCCTTGTTGATTTTTATTGGGCCCTAGGGTGCAATTAAATGTTAAGGTTGTTATTGAATTTTCTTGACAGATTGAGTTTTCCTGTTTAGGAAGCATACATACATACAGTACATACCTACATTGCTTCATGGAACTGAGGCATTTCTGACATCTTTGCATCAATATCAATGCCTTTATTGCACATTTTTGCCAAGGAGAGATCAGAAAATGTCTGATAGTTAGACACTGCCAAGGCAGCTGCAGGTCGTAAGACTTGACTGGCTTTATTTTCCAGCCAAATATTTTTTGTTGTAGATTTTTTAAAATTATATTTGTAAGTAAGGGGAAGGGAACAGAGAGGAATTGATGTGAGCAGCCCAGAATTTCTAAGCAACCTACCTAGATAGTCTAGGTATTTATATGGATCTGAAGCTTGTATTTCTCTCATTCTTAGGTTAGTTCCCTAGCCACCAGGCTAGTTCTCCATTACTAACATTACCAGAAGTATTGCATGTTGGCCTGGTTTTATAGAGAACCCCGCAATTAAAAAACCAAACCAAGCCTGTGTGACAGATTGAATGATTGTGAATGATTTCACAGACCGACATATCTGTCCAGCACTTGCAGGCAACCATACAATGACACCAACTTACTGTGCTGAGTTTTCTTGCAGTAAGAAATTTAGCCAAGCAGCCTGGGCAATCCAAAAAAACCTAAGTAGGATAAATGAGTGGTGTTCAGCCAGGGAACTCTGGTTAAAAAAAGGAAGGATTGAAATGTAGGAAGGAAAACTGGCAAGGATGAATAACAACAGTGTTGTCTTTTACACCAAGGTGGATAGAACAGCTAATTGAACTGGAGAATTTAAAAGCCAATACAAGTCAGTTAAAAAAAGATTAAATACTACCATTTATACTATAGGGGTCAACACCAGAGAGTCAGATCCGTAGCTGATACAAATCATCGTAGCTCCTCTGAAGTCATTGGAGCAATCCTGATCTACACCGGTTGAGGATTAGGCAGAGATAGCACCCTTTCATCCCTTCCAATGACATGGGTGAACCTCCATTTTCTAATTTAAGATGACATTTACAGAGAGGAAAAAAATCAAAATCTGTTTACTAGGTGCTGATTGCTTCAGCAGAGACCCAAGCACTAAGCAGCAAATGCAGACAAGTTATTACACTGACAATTGGAAAACGATAGTGTCCATGGAGTCACACACTGACTTTTCAAGCCTTTCAGCAGCTCTTCCCCTCCCCGCCCCTTAGCAAGCTGTCTGCCAAATATTACAGTTATTTTTACGTTTACACAGCAAATGACCAGTTTACCTGATCAGCTCGCAAGCTTTCCCATGGTAGCTGTCTATCAGTTGTCTTGCTATCATGTAAGCAACAGCCCACGACAGGGTGTGAAGTTATAATAGCGATACTTAGCCCTGATACCATGTCTTTTGCATTTGTAGATTGCAAAGCACTTTACAAAGGCTGCTCCATGGGACCCTTTCCAGATTCTCCCCAGAGCTTTGTGCACTTTGGGACTGGTGGTATCATACTTTTGTTCCTGCAATAGAGACGTGATCAGTATTGTATATGGGGAAACTGAGGCACCGAGCATTCACAATTAACTTTCAGTCAAGCAGCCAATCCATACCAGAGCTGGAAAGAGCACCCATGTCTTGGGACTCCTAGTTCCTTTTCCATTGGTTTAGAAATCAGCACTTATTCTATACCTCTACCCTGATTTAGCAGAATTTCAATGAGGGGGGATGCAGCCATTATCCTAATAGGTGAGGCCTGTTACTTCCCCCAGAGGAAAGGGAAGACACCAGAGGTCTCCTGTCGCTTGATAATTCTTGCTTCCCCGCTACCACCCCGTGCTCTTTTAAGGTCTCATTCCTGTCCAGAGGCAAGTTGCTGTACCTTACTGGATGCAGCACTGTTCACATGGCACCTGTCAGAACTGATGTCTTCTAGATTCCTAGGGTGACGCAGAAGTTCTTTAGGTTGGGGCCATTATTTATACCCTCCCAAGTCCTATCATGGGTGCAGGCTGGTACAGCCCATGTGCTGCATGCCATGCAGTTTTTAATTTTCCATGGGCAACATTTATTCTGATGACTAGGAGGTGTTTTTTATTAATGCCCTGCTAAAGGACTTGATGACAGCCCCTGCTACCTTTAGTTCAAAAGCGGAACATGCTTCAGATTAAGCATTCAATGCAAGCAGGCAAATGCATGGCCAGCAGGCTTCTGCATTTCCCTTTGCTCACTGTATCGCTGAATCTGATCCAATACTCCCCAAAAGCTTGTCAGTCTATCTGGGCTAGTCCAAGGTTAGAAAGAGGTGGTTGGAGTAGAGGATGGATGTCAGATTGCTTGGGTTCACTTCCAACTTCTGTCACTGCTTCACTATGAGGCTCTGGGTTTATCACTTAATTTAGCTGTACTTAAATTTGCTCAGCTCTAAATGGATTAAATTATCTGCCTTACTAAAGGTCTGTGGGGATTCATTAATGCGTGTGGAACAATTTAGGATTATGAAACAACGGGCTTTTTAGAAGTGCAAAGTCCAGTGATCCAAGTTTGCATTTTTTGACGATTTGAGTGGCTTTTGCAACTTTTGCTGGTGAGTTATATTTGTGGTGACAGTTTTATAATTATTGTAATATTTATCCAGCATGCCCCATTGAGGATCTCAAGCCCTTAACAAAAGCAAGAAAGTCTTATCACACCCCTGTTACAGAGGGAGGAGATAAGGGCTCCAATCAGAGAAGTGACTGACTGAAGATCAGATCACACAGCTAGTTAGTGGAAGAGCTAGGAGTAGAACTCAGAGTCCCGATTCACTTAGCCCTGAGCAAAAAGACGTACTTGGACGTGTTAGTTTGAAGTCAAGTAGAAGGTTGCGTAGATTTGCACCTTGTAGACTGAGGAAAAGCATCTGATTAAGTGAGCTGAGAATATTTATCCATTCAAATGGGTTCCCAGTCCTGCAGGAATAAACCATGGGGTGTTCCAGTCTACAATGCCAAGGTCCCTTTTCCCTGCACATCACCTGATTTTGCGCAAACCCTTTGAGATGCGACTAGGTCCCCTGTGTGAACAGTGCTTGTCGAGGTTTCACCTGGCAAGGTGTATGTTGCTGAGCATTTGTTTCACGTGCTGTTTGTTTTGATAGACGGGTGTTAAACACTGCCTAGGTGAAGGAGTTTTGTCAGGTTATATTTAAATCATGAGTTCAGTTCTCCTGGGATGCAGAGTGAACTATTAGTGGGATGAAAAGCAGCTCCCTGCAACTCTTGCTTTCATGCACGCAGCTTTGTGTTGGGAGTCCTATGAATATGGAAAATCTGATCCTGCCCCACCATAGATCCCCAAGCAACAGTGATTACCACTAATATGGAGTGAGTATAGCAAATCTCTTTCCTAAGGCCCTGACCTCCCACTGAAATCAAGGGAAAATATCGGTGGGAGCTGTAAGTGCAATCACGTGAGAAGCTGCACCACTGTCCAGCATGCAGTGAGTTAACTGCCTTCTCCGGTGAAGCTATAACCTTTTCCTGGTCTCCAGTCATTTGGAGAGTGTTTACTTTCCACCTGTGATGGCAAGAATGGGGAATCGATTGGAGTTTGCAGGTGAAAATGGATTGCAACCTGCTGTCGGTAGTGTCAATAGAGCTGATTAGCACTTGCGTCTGTCCCCAGTGGCTTGATCTCGCAGGTGAGAATCGTTCAGACCAGCTGGGACCACTGCTCTCCTGTGGGTTGTAGCCTCACAACTGATATCATTGTTTTGCTTGTGTAGAC